AAAAGAAAGAAAAGCTGGGCGCGGTGGGCTACCGCTTGTAATCCCAGCAATTTGGGAGGGGCGGAGAGCGTCGGATCACGAGGTCAGGGAGATCAAGACCACAGTGAAACCCCATCTCCACTAAAAAAATACCCAAAAGGGCCGGGCGCGGTGGCTCCAAGTCCTGTAATCCAGCACTTTGGGAGCCGAGCGGATGGATCACGAGGTTCAGGAGATCGAGACTATCCTGCTACATACTCCAGCCTGGGTGACAGAGCAAGACTCCATCTCAAAAAAAAAAAAAAAAAAGAAAGCATATCTAAATATGTTTAGAGAACATATTTTAGGCCTTTAGTTAAGACCTGGGCCGGGTGCAATGGCTCAAGCCTGTAATCCTAGCACTTTGGGAGGCCAGGGTGGGAGGATCACTTGAGTCCAGGAATTTGAGACCAGCCTGGGCAACATGGTGAAATCCCATCTCTACAAAAAATTAGTCAGGTGTGTGGTGCATGCCTATGGTCCCAGCTAGCCAGGAAGCTGGGGTGGGAGGATGGCTTGAGTCCAGAGGTGATATTTGTGCTGAGAGGTGAAAGACGAAAAGGAGAAAAAGCCAAGAAAGCACATTCCAAATGGAACAAACAGCTTGGGTGAAGTCCCAGAGGCAGGAAAGAACTTAATACAACGAAGGAACTGAAAGAAGGCTGATGTTGCTGGAGCTCAGGGAGCCAAGGGTGGAGTAGCAAGAAAAATGATGGGGACCAGGCGGTGGCTGATGCCTGTAATCCCAGCACTTTGGAAGGCCGAGGCTGGCAGATTCCTTGCACTCAGGAGTTTGAAATCAGCCTGGACGACGTGGTGAAAGTCTATACAAAAATACAGAAATTAGCCAGATGTAGTGGTGTGCGTGTGTAGTCCCAATTACTCAGGAGGCTGAGGTGTGATTGCACCACTGTATTCCAGCCTAGGTGACAGTACGAGACCTTGCCCCTCTTCTCTCACAAAAAAGATGGAATAGCTGGGCAAAGTGGCTCACACCTGTAATCGCAGCACTTTGGGAGGCTGAGGTGAGCGGATCACTTGAGGTCAGGAGTTTGAGACCAGCCTAGCCAACATGGTGAAACCTCATCTTTACTAAAAATACAAAAATTAGCCAGGCATGGTGGCGCGCACCTGTAGTCCCAGCTACTCTACTCGGGAGGCTGAGGCAGGAGAATCTCTTGAATCTGGGAGGCAGAGGTTGCAGTGAGCTGAGATCGCGCTGCTGCACTCCAGAGCAAGACTCTGTCTCAAAAAAAAAAAAAAAAAAAAAAAAGGATGGGATAGCAAGTGAAGGGCCATATTGATCATGACTTTATGGAAGTTGAAGTTCGTATTTAGTTTTAAGTATAATTGGAAGACACTGATGAGTTTTTAAAAGGAAGTGACATGATAGAATTTCTGTTTTAGAAAACTAATTCTGGCAGCTGTGTGGAAAATGAGTTGAAAATGGACAACACCGCTCTTGTGAAACTTCCTTAAAAAGCTATTGCATAAACTGACCTGCACTGTTTGAAGTCAGAATAGTGATTAGAGGGCAGCATGAGGGGAGATTCTGAAGGTGCAGGAAATGTTCTGCTTATTTTCTGGGAGCTGATTATATGGGTGTGTTTGGTTTGTGAGTATTCAAGATTTACACTTGGGATATGTAAATTTTTCCTTATGTATATTGTACTTCAATACAAATTTTTACGCCGGGCACGGTGGCTCACCCCTGTAATCCCAGCACTTTGGGAGACTGAGGAGGGCAGATCACTTGTAATAATATAGTAATATAGTAATAGTTGAATTTGGATGATCCTACATTAGGAAATAAAATGAAATATGTAACGGTTATTACTAGAATAATTGACAAAATTTAAAGATGGAATTTGTATACCAGTATTGAATCACGATTAAATTTCCTTAATTTTATAATCGGGCTGTGCTTATGTAAGAGGTAGTTCTTGATCTTAGTAGATACATACCAAAGTATTTAGGGAGATGTGTGATTGGTTTTCAAACGGTTTTGCAAAATAATATGTAAACACATAGGTAAAGATAAAATAAAACTAGGCAAAATAATAACACTAAGTGAATCCCGGTGAAGAGTATATGGGCATTCATTATGTTAGTCTTGCAACATTTGTTTTATATTTTTAATATTTTAAAAACAGGCCGGGCGCGGTGGCTCAGGCTTGTAATCCCAGCATTTTGGGAGGCCAAAGTGGGCGGGTCACTGGAGGTCAGGAGTTTGAGACCAGCTTAGGCAACATGGGGAAACTCCATCTTTAGTAAAAATACAAAAATTAGCCGGGTGTGATGGCACCCGCCTGTGATCCCAGCTCCTCGGGAGGCTGAGGAACGAGAATCGCTTGAGCCTGGGAGACGGAGGCTGCAGGGCACTGAGATCGTGCCACTGCACTCCAGCCTGGGCGACAGAGCGAGACTACGCCAAAAATAAATAAACAAAATAAAATTAACTAAATTATTTGAAATTGTCATAAGCTAAGTAACCAGTAAAAACTGGAGAAAAGCCATAACAATAATCCGGGAACAAGATGATGTTATGGGCTAAACCTGGCAGTCAAGACACAGAAAACTGAGTAAATTCAAGGTATGTTTTGGAGGTAGAACTAACAAGGTTAACTGATAAGGTGTAGTAAATAAAGAAAAAGGGAGGAATAACCGTTGTAAACAAACAACCCGACCAAAACGACCAAACTAGCCCGGCCCTTCCCGTTTGGACCCAAGCGAAGGAAGTGAGGAAAACAAAGCAACCGCCTAGCTACCGTCAGGCTTCCGTTCTAGCGGCGCGAAGAGGCCGTAAATCAGAGAAACCCGTTTGGCTCCTCCCCTAAAGGGCTGTCCTTGAGACTGATTGGCCAATGGAAAGCGAGTAGTCGATGGATAATCCAGTCGCTCTGGAGTGGGTGGAGTCCTGAGGAACTGGGGTGGGCTGGACTTGGGCCTGGAGTTCGGCATTTCCGCCCACGTGGGAAGCCATGCCGTGTAGACCCGGCTAGAATCTGAAGTGCGGAAGAGGCCTGGACCCCGAATGATGGGGCCGGCGCCAGCTGGAGAGCAGCTGTGCGGAGCGATTGGAGAGCCAGAGGTGGGTTAAGGCTTCTGGGAGGAACAGAGGCTCCATGTGCGCTCCTTTGGCTGCAGGGTCCGAGATGGCGGGGCCTGACAGCTTGCCGGTGAAGGCCATGCCGGCGGCCCATTTTGGAGGATGCTTTCAGCCTGTGGCACTGAGACAGGGCTTGCTAGGGGAAATGGAACCTGGCAGTATTTGGTTAGAAGCAGTGAAGCCAGTAGAGCCTCTGCTCCCTTCTGGAAATCTGCACCTCAAAGTTGAAGAGACCCACACTTGGGTCGTTTCCTTAACTTGGTCGTCCTTGAGGATAAGCGGGATCTTCCTCCCTCCACAGAACTTGTGTCCAGTTCTGTGCTCCCCGCTCTCCCGGAGCGCTCCAGTAAGGCTCTCTGGGGTGAGAGGGATCGTGGAGGGGATGGGCCCACGGCTGTAAGGGAAAAGGTTTGGGATAGTGCACGCTTGCCTTTGAAGCCTGCTCATGGTGTGGGTGTACCAGTTGTGGAACCTCGAGTGAGTAGTGGGACTTCAAGTGTCTTCACGGATTATTTTGAGGATTTAATGACTGGCTAAATGTATCCTCTGGAGTCCAGTTTGTTCTAGCTCCTTCCATCAGTGAGTACTTAGTATATACTGAGGCAGTCAGGGCTTCCTTGAGGAGATGGAACCTGGCAGGATTTTCGTTGGAGCGAGAATGGAAAAGACATTTGAGAAGTCCCAGGCCTATATCAGCAGGAGAGGAAACTTCCTGAAAATACAAGGGGCTTGGGCATTACTTAGGGCAGGGCCCAGTTAGCTTCTTCTTTTTTTTTTTTTTTTTTTTGAGACAGTCTTGCTCTGTTGCCCAGGTTAGAGTGCAGTGGCATGATCTCAGCTCACTTCAGCCTCTGCTTCCTGGATTCAAGTGATTCTCCTGCCTCAGTCTCCCGAGTAGCTGAGATTACAGGCATGTGCCACCACACCCGGCTAATTTTTGTATTTTTAATAGCGACAGGGTTTCCCCATGTTGGCCAGGCTGGTTTCGAACTCCTGACTTCACCTGATCCGCCCACCTCAGCCTCCCAAAGTGCTGGGATTACAGGCATTAGCCACCGTGTCTGACCTGGGCCCAGTCAGCTTCTGTCCCTACCAATTCCAAACAGAGCTCCATGCTTGTGGAGTCAGGTAGACACAAGAGCTCTTAAGGAATTTTCGGTTCAGCACTCAGTAATGTTCCTTGAAGTAACGATTCTCCTGAGTTTTACAAAATCTGACTCCTATTCGAAAGAGGGACAGAGCAGGTGAAGCCTTTACCCACAACCTGTCATGGTGGCACTTTAGGCAGCAGGTGCTAGATACCTATTACGTCACAATGGCTTCTCCCTCACTGGTCACAGGTGATGGAACCAGCCCTGGAAGGCACAGGCAAAGAGGGGAAGAAGGCATCCTCCAGGAAGCGTACATTGGATGAGCCTCCAGCGAAGGGCCTCCTGCAGCCAGTGAAGCTCAGCCGGGCAGAACTGTACAAGGAGCCTACCAATGAGGAGCTTAATCACCTTCGGGAGACTGAGATCCTGTTCCACTCCAGCTTGCTTCGTTTACAGGTACTGTTGAGTATCTGGGGCTTTTGTTCAAGGGGTGTACCTGGGACCCTGAGGCTGATGGACTGTTTTCTACCCTCTCTTACAGGTAGAGGAGCTACTAAAGGAAGTAAGGCTGTCAGAGAAGAAGAAGGATCGGATTGATGCCTTCCTACGGGAGGTCAACCAGCGGGTTGTTCGGGTGCCCTCAGTCCCTGAGACAGAGGTAAGCAAATGGCCTGGGGAACTGAGAAGCACAAGAGACCGCCAGTGGGGGTGTATCAAACAGGGGCCTTGCTGTTACTCTCTTTAAGGGTTGGGGTGCAGGGAGCTCATTCTCACAGCAAGGAAGCTTAACTGGGAGCGTGGTCATTTGTGTATTCATTCAGCAAGTACTTACATGACTTGCAGTATTTGTGTTCTTAGGATATATCAGTAAATAGCCTATGTTCTAATGTTGAGGTTATAGTTAATAGATAAGCATGACAGGTCAACTCTATGGCAATGTTAGAATGTGGTAAACACTGGAAAAAGGAAAAAGTAGGACAAGCAATGTAAGGGGATTGGGAGTATTAGAGGATGGGAGTGGTTTACAAATTTAAATGGGGTGTTCACAAAGTAGGCCTTATTGAAGTGACATTTGTGTAAAGACTTGAAGTAGGTGAGTCAGCTATATAGATATCTAAGGGAATGAAAGCATTCTAGGAAGGGGGAACAGCCAGTACAAAAGCACAAAGGCAGGATTGTTCCAGGTACATTCCTTGGAATGAATGAGGAAGATAGAAGGAGATGAGTTCAGAAAGGTGATGGGGAAAGGTAGCATATCATGCACGGCATTGTGTCCCAAAATAAGGAGTTTGGCTATTGCTCTGGGTGAGATGGGGAGCCACTGCTGGGTTTTATTTTGCAGAGCACTGATGCCCTCTGATGTTTAAAAATTCACTTTTTTTTTTTTTTTTTGAGACAAAGTCTGGCTCTTTTCCACCAGGCTGGAGTGCAATGGTGCGATCTCGGTTCACTGCAGCCTCTGCCTCTCCTGTTTAAGCGATTCTTCTGCCTCAGCCTCCTGAGTAGCTGGGATTACCACACCCAGCTAATTTTTTTTTGTATTTTCAGTAGAGATGGGGTTTCACCGTGTTGGCCAGGCTGATCTTGAACTCCTAACCTCAGGCAATCTGCTCACCTCGGCCTCCCAAAGTGCTGGGATTATAGGTGTGAGCCACCCCACCTGGCCTAAAAAGTTCACTTTTCCAGCCTTAAAAAGTTTAGTTTTAGAAAAATTTACTCCAGCTGTTGTGTCAAAAGTAGAATGGAGATGGACAACGATGAGATTAGGGAGACCAGTTAGGAACTAATCTAGGCACTAAGAAATGATGGCTCCTCAAACTAGGGAGGAAAGTAAAGAAGTGATCCTTTTTTTTCTTAAATTTTTTTCTCTCTCTGTTTTAAAAAATTTTCTATTTAGAGAAGTGATCCATTTCTGAATACATTTTGGTAGTAAAATGGGTATTCTTAACAGAGATAAGTTAAGGTGATTTAAGTGGTTTTGGCTTGAGAAACTCATATAGAGTTGTCTTAGCAAGGAAGACATAGTTATGGGAAGATTGGCAGTTTGGTCTCAAACATACCGATGTGTTAAGATGTCTTCTAGACATACAGGGTACATGTGAGGAAGGCAGTTGAATCAGTATGTGTCCCTGTCTCTGCCCCCACAGCTCACTGACCAGGCATGGCTCCCAGCTGGGGTTCGAGTGCCCCTCCACCAAGTGCCCTATGCCGTGAAGGGCTGTTTCCGCTTCCTGCCCCCAGCCCAGGTTACTGTTGTGGGCAGCTACCTTCTGGGCACCTGCATCCGGCCAGACATCAATGTGGATGTGGCACTGACCATGCCCAGGGTAAGGTCCAGGGTTTAGGGAATAGAGGCCCACCACCTGACTACCTACAAATCCTGGATCCCTCTTTCTTATCTGCTGCTTGCCAGGGGATTGAAGCCTGAATTCTAAATCAGAAGAGCAGACCACTGCAGGCATCCTGAAGGCAGCTTAGATCCCTTGGGCCAGTTGCTGTCCTTTGGGAACTTTGCCCTCCTGATATGAGAACTGGGCATAGTGTTACTAACTGTGGCTCAAGCACTTCTGTCAGCAGAGGAGCCCTGGTACTCTCACCTTGGCTTCACCTTGGCCTACAGCTCCACAAGCACTTACATGCCTGGCCTTCTCTTCTCCCCTGGCCCCTCCAGGAAATCCTACAGGACAAGGATGGGCTGAACCAGCGCTACTTCCGCAAGCGTGCCCTCTACCTGGCCCACTTGGCTCACCACCTGGCCCAGGACCCCCTCTTTGGCAGTGTTTGCTTCTCTTACACAAATGGCTGCCACCTGAAACCCTCACTGTTGCTGCGGCCGCGTGGTGAGAGGCACACATTGGGCTGAGGGCATAGCATGGGGTGGTAAATCTGGAGGAGGGGGCACAGAGGCCTCAAGTATGGGGGGACAGGATGGGGAGCCTTCTGACTCCAAGGGCTCCTGCAGAGTCTCAGCACCTGCTGTCTCTGCCAGGGAAGGATGAGCGCCTGGTTACTGTACGTCTGCATCCGTGCCCTCCGCCTGATTTCTTCCGCCCGTGCCGCTTGCTGCCAACCAAGAACAATGTGCGCTCTGCCTGGTACCGAGGGCAGAGTCCTGCAGGGGATGGTGAGCAGGCCCTGGTGTTGAGGTGGAGCTAGAGGGAAGAGATGTGGGGGACTTTTCCTCTCATGGCTTCCCTTTTCATCCCACAGGTAGCCCAGAGCCCCCTACCCCCCACTACAATACATGGGTCCTTCAGGATACAGCTCTCGAGTCCCATTTGCAGCTCCTGTCAACCATGCTGGGTTCAGCCCAGGGCCTGAAGGATGGTGTGGCACTTCTGAAGGTCTGGCTGCGGCAGCGGGAGCTGGACAAGGTGAGTTGGGGGTAGCCCAGCCTCCCTACCTGAGTGCCTGTGTGATGGGTAGGCTCTGACTTCAGGCCTCTCCCTATGTCTCTTTCAGGGCCAGGGTGGGTTTACTGGGTTCCTTGTCTCCATGCTGGTTGTCTTCCTTGTGTCTACACACAAGATCCATAACACCATGAGTGGCTACCAGGTCCTGAGAAGCGTCTTGCAGTTTCTGGGTGAGGCAACTAGGTGGGGAAAGGCCGGGGTTCTGCTCCTTTTGGGAATCCTCATCTTAGCAGGGGTCTTTTGGTTTTTTGCCATCAGACAGATGAGCAAACTGAATCAGCTGAGGGAGGGTGTCGTTAGGACTGGGTCCCCAGAAGGGGATACCTTCTAATACACTTGTGGTTCACTTCAGCCACTACAGACCTGACAGTCAACGGGATCAGTTTATGTCTCAGCTCAGATCCGTCTTTGGTAAGTTGGAGAAGGGCCAGGTCTGTGCCAGGAGGCCTGCAAGTGAGGTGCCAATCCTGACCTGCTTCTCTCTACACCCCCCAAGCCGGCCCTGGCTGACTTCCACCAGGCCTTCTCTGTTGTCTTCCTGGACTCCTCAGGCCGTCTCAACCTCTGTGCTGATGTCACTGCCTCTACTTACCACCAGGTACCAATGGGCCCCCAGTCTGTGTTCCCCTGATGTCCCAGCCCAGACTCTGTCCCTTTTGTGAGTACCAGAACCCCAGAAACTCCTCTTCAAAGAGCTAAGTTTAGGGCATGTCTCCTGGTCTAAGCCCTTGGATCAATGAAGGGCACAGGGATGGTCCCTTCTGTGGCTCCAGGTACAGTATGAGGCATGGCTGTCTATGACGTTGCTGGACAGCAGAGCTGACGATGGGTTCCAGCTGCTGTTGATGACTCCCAAACCCATGATCCGGGCTTTCGACCACGTCCTGCAGTGAGTTTAGGGGTGACAGGGTATGTTGGCGGGTCCTGTCTCTTTGGGGCTACAGAGGTGGGGCAAATGTCTTCAGACAGGTGCTCAGATCATTCAGGGAGGAGGTGGTACTAGGGACCAGCAACCTGATGACTCCTCTTTGGCCCTCTGTACCCCTCCAGTATCCATCCACTGAGTCGCCTGCAGGCAGCGTGCCACCGGCTGAAGCTCTGGCCAGAGCTGCAGGACAATGGGGGGGACTATGTCTCAGCTGCTTTGGGCCCCCTGACCACCCTCCTGGAGCAGGGCCTGGGGACTCGGCTGAAGCTCCTGGCTCACTCTCGACCTCCAGTCCCAGAGGTGAGGTGGTGTAGGTTGGGGAGTTTGGGTCTGAGTTGGGCTGGATCCAGGGTCCCAAGAGACACAAAGGACATGCCATTCCTCTAGCAAGGTGTTTCTACCTAGCTAGAAAGTAGGTTTCTAGGCCAGGCTGGAGGAAGGGAGGACTGAGCTCAGCCTTTTGAAATCTTGCAGTGGGGCATCAGCCAAGATCCACCAAAGCACAAAGACTCTGGGTCCCTGACCCTGGGACTCCTCCTCCGGCCTGAGGGACTGACCAGTGTCCTTGAGCTGGGTCCAGAGGCAGACCAGCCTGAGGTGAGGGACCCTGGCATGTACACTGGAAGGAGTGGGGCGGCTCTTCCCCGTGGCACCTGGACCAAAGCTTGTCAGGGAGGGTCCGCAGAGCCCTTCCTTCCCCAGCTCTACTACCACCCTTGCCTCTTCAGGCTGCTAAATTCCGCCAGTTCTGGGGATTCCGCTCGGAGCTTCGGCGTTTCCAGGATGGAGCCATTCGGGAAGCTGTGGTCTGGGAGGCAGCCTCTATGTCCCAGAAGCGCCTTATTCCCCACCAGGTGGTCACCCACCTCTTGGCACTGTGAGTGTTGGCATCTGGATTCCAGGAGGCAGTATGGGCTGGGGAGCCTTTTCAGGGGTCTGGCCCAGGCAGTTGAGCAAGAACATAGCCCCAAATTTTCTCACTGTGTCTGTGCCTCTTTTTCAGCCATACCGACATCCCAGAAACCTGTGTCCACTATGTGGGGGGCCCCCTGGATGCACTTATCCAAGGCCTGAAACAGGTAAGGGTCTTGGGGTCAAGGCTAGTGATTGTAGAGTCTGTGGAGAGAGAGTTCTTTCCACCTCAGCCAGCTTGCACTTCCTGGCGTGTCCAGCAGGCGGCGGTGCTGGCTCTGCTGCAGCCTGAGCTGGGGCAGAATCCAGGTGAAGCTGGCCTTCTGTAGGGTCCAACCTCCTGACCGTCTTCTCCCTCTCAGACCTCCAGCACAGGCGAGGAGGCCCTGGCAGTGGCGGTATGTTGCTACGACGACCTCAGTCGCCTACTGTGGGGGCTAGAGGGTCTCCCACTGACCGTGTCTGCTGTTCAGGGAGCTCACCCAGTGCTGCGCTACACAGAGGTGAGGTGCAACGGTGCAGGTGACCTTTCTGCTTAGTAACCCCACCTCTGCTCCAGTCACCCAGTACTCCCTGCTTCTAACTCTTGACTCTGGGCACTCCCTCCCAGTCCCAGGCCCCTTCCTCAGCCCCCCTTCTTCCACAGGTGTTCCCACCAACTCCAGTCCGACCAGCCTCCTCCTTCTATGAGCCTCTGCAGGAGCGGTCCTCACTGCTGCCCCGGCTCGATAAGCCCTGTCCAGCATATGTAGAGCCCATGACCGGTAAGAGGGCCCTTGGGAGGGAGTAGGAGGGATAGTTCCAGCTCCAGGCCACAGTATGAGACCTCTGACTCCTCTTCTCCATCAGTGGTCTGTCACCTGGAGGGCAGTGGCCAGTGGCCACAGGACGCTGAGGCCGTGCAGCGGGTCCGAGCTGCCTTCCAGCTGCGCCTGGCAGAGCTGTTGACACAACAGCATGGTCTGCAGTGCCGTGCCACTGCCACGCACACGGATGTCCTCAAGGTTAGGCTGGTGCAGGCAGATATGTCCCCGGCGGGGAGGGACACCAGGGATGTCAGGGCATGGAAGAAGACACCCCTGTGGGTACCACGCTGGGGAATAGGGCTGCAGGCTACAGAGTACTCCCGGGGTCCTGGGCTGACACATCCTTCTCTTTCCGTACCTTCTTCCAACAGGATGGATTTGTGTTTCGGATTCGCGTAGCCTATCAGCGGGAGCCCCAGATCCTGAAGGAGGTGCAGAGCCCAGAGGGGATGATCTCACTGAGGGACACACCTGCCTCCCTCCGCCTTGAGAGAGACACAAGGCAGTTGCCACTGCTCACTAGTGCCCTGCACGGGTAAGGCCACTGACACAGCTTCTTCCTGTCTGTAGGCCCCTCCTGCCCCCATTCTCCTCGCCTAGCCACCTGTCTCTCTGGGGACCAGATGGTATCATAGTTAGGGGTATGAGTTCTGGAGTCCGGCAGGTTCTGGAATCCTGGCTCTGCCACTTACTGACTGTGACCCTATGGTCAGGTTTTCCTCTTTGGTCCCTATGTTCCTCATCTTTAAAATGGAAATAACACTAGGATCAACTTCTTGGAGCGTTTGTTAAGAGAACATGAGATTACACATGTAACCTATTATCACTGAGGCTGGCCTTGGGTAGGGCTGGATGAACAGTGGCGGTGGCGGGGTGGGGCCCTGGGCGCCGGAGTCTCGCTGACACTCCTCTCCTCTACCCAGACTGCAGCAGCAGCACCCAGCCTTCTCTGGTGTGGCACGGCTGGCCAAGCGGTGGGTGCGTGCCCAGCTTCTTGGTGAGGATTTCACTGATGAGAGCCTGGATCTGGTGGCCGCTGCCCTTTTCCTGCACCCTGAGCCCTTCACCCCTCCCAGGTGATTCCCTCCACTTTTTCCCTAGCTGAGAAGTTCCCTTGGGGCCAGCTATCATCCTTCATGCTGCACCCTAAGTTTACATGGGAATGGGTTGTTGAGCAAGTGGTGGAAGGGGTTCTTTTTTTTTTTTTTTAACCTTTTTTTTTTTTGAGACGGAGTCTGGGTCTGTCACCCAGGCTGGAGTGCTGTGGCCGATCTCAGCTCACTGCAAGCTCCGCCTCCCGGGTTCACGCCATTCTCCTGCCTCAGCCTCCCGAGTAGCTGGGACTACAGGCGCCCGCCACCTCGCCCGGCTAGTTTTTTGTATTTTTTAGTAGAGACGGGGTTTCACCGTGTTCGCCAGGATGGTCTCGATCTCCTGACCTCGGGATCCGCCCGTCTCGGCCTCCCAAAGTGCTGGGATTACAGGCTTGAGCCACCGCTCCCGGCCACGGAAGGGGTTCTAAGATGCCCTGCACCCCCCAGTCCACACCAGGGGGTCTGAGCTCCGTAGCCTGAGGGAAGCCTGGGGATATGTGGCTGGGCCCCGGATTCTTTACTTACTCCAGCCCTTTAGTTCCCCCCAGGTTGGCTTCCTTCGATTCCTTTACTTGGTATCAACGTTTGATTGGAAGAATAACCCCCTCATTGTCAACCTCAACAATGAGCTCACTGGTAAGTGGCAGAACAGGGATCAGACTGCTGGAAGAACTGCCTTTATGGATTGCAGGCAAGGGTTTCCCTGACAGTGTTAGGTTTTCTCTATGCCTCCCCAGCCCCAGATGTCTAAGCCTAACATGAAGAAGAGGTCCAGGTGAACAGCCTGCCCATTATGACATGATTTGCTCTTAACTGTCACAGACAGAATGGTAGGGTGGTAAGCAAGCTACCCATTGGGGGACTGTGGAAGGAAGAGGAGAATAGAAGGGGAATCCTGAATGCCAGGTGAGCAGTATTAGGGCACGGAGCTAGGAAGTGTAGCATAGATACTCAGACCTCTTGGTGGGGGTGGGAATGGTGATTTCTGGTTGTAACATGAGGCACTCCTGGTCTCTGCAGAGAGCAGGGTGTCAGGTTCCTAATTCTCCAGGTGTGTGGAAGCCCATAGTGGGAGGGGGCCAGGGGCAAGACTCAGCTTGTGCAGGCCCGGAAACCAGACTGGGGGTGCCAAGCAGTGGAAAATTCTGCCTCTGGGCTGAGGTTGGGAGATTAATGCCCCACCCAGTTGGGGCAAATGCAATGTCCCTTTCGTCACCTTTGCCACTTGTTGGTGGGGGTTGTTGAAAAATACCTCTGATGAGCAGCTGTTAGGGGCACCGTAGGAAGACCCGGGGCAGTAGAGGGTGTCTTACAGGGAGGAGCAGGCTGACCCAGGATCCATTCTTGTCTCTAGTGGAGGAGCAGGTGGAGATCCGCAGTGGCTTCCTGGCAGCTCGGACACAACTCCCCGTCATGGTCATTGTTACCCCCCAAGACCGAAAGCACTCTGTGTGGACACAGGATGGACCCTCAGCCCAGGTTCAACCCCATACCTGCCCCCTAATGCGTGGTTTTCTTCCCAAGGAAAAAGCAGGCCCAGCCTGAGCTGGGAGAGACCCACTGTCAGTTCCAGTCTGATGTGTCTGTACCCTGCAGATCCTGCAGCAGCTTGTGGTCCTGGCAGCTGAAGCGCTGCCCATGTTAGAGAAGCAGCTCATGGATCCCCGGGGGCCTGGGGACATCAGGGTAAGCTTCTGACCAGGAGTGACTCCAGGGCCTCTGGGGATTCTGTCTTTGGAAGTTCAGCGTTCGGGGATCTCACAGGAGGCCAGGTCCCCTTGTTTGGTGAGACTGAACGGAGGAGGTGTTGAAGCTGCTGTGATGCCTGGGGTGGCAGCCTGGGGAACCTGGGTTCCATCTGGGTCTTCTGTTTCTAGCCTGTGCTCCTCCTGCCAGGCTATGCAACAGCTGCTTCCTCTGTGGGTCTTGGTGTTTCAGTCTTCAGATGGGCAGGTGGGCCCATAGTGGGTGGTCAGATGAAAGGGAAGGAGGAGGAAACCAAGGTGGGCATATGGAGAGGTTTGTGGTTCAGTTCCTCAGTCAAGGAGGTCCTGCTGACCCCTCCTTCTCCCATTCCTTAGACAGTGTTCCGGCCACCCTTGGACATTTACGATGTGCTGATTCGCCTGTCTCCTCGCCATATCCCGCGGCACCGCCAGGCCGTGGACTCGCCAGCTGCCTCCTTCTGCCGAGGCCTGCTCAGCCAGCCGGGGCCCTCATCCCTGATGCCCGTGCTGGGCTACGATCCTCCTCAGCTCTATCTGATGCAGCTCAGGGTTGGTTCTAAACAACTGAATGACCCTGGGGAGGGGACTTCCAGGTGAAGCCGAGGCTATGGAGGAACTCTTAAGTGCCTGCCTATAATTTTCTCTGTTCTGTCCCTTTCTAGGAGGCCTTTGGGGATCTGGCCCTTTTCTTCTATGACCAGCATGGTGGAGAGGTGATTGGTGTCCTCTGGAAGCCCACCAGTTTCCAGCCCCAACCCTTCAAGGTGTGCTGGCTGGTGACAGCCGTGTTCCTGAGTGTGTGCACGTGGTTCTGTGTGGGTATGCATGTCTGTGTGTAGTCTGTTCTATGGACAAACCTGTGTCAGGTGTGGAGTGCATGGGCTTGTGTTTCTATCCCCACCACCCCCACTCTGCACCCAGCCTGGTGTCTCTGGGTGTGCGGTTGTGACCGCCAATCCACATCTCTTCTCTGATTTCCCCAGGCCTCCAGCACAAAGGGGCGCATGGTGATGTCTCGAGGTGGGGAGCTGGTAATGGTGCCCAATGTAGAAGCAATCCTGGAGGACTTTGCTGTGCTGGGTGAAGGCCTGGTGCAGACTGTGGAGGCCCGAAGTGAGAGGTGGACTGTGTGATCCCAGCCCTGGAGCAAGCTGTAGGTGGACAGCAGGACATTCGACCTCTAGAGCATGATGGCAGTGGGATGACCTCCACCCTCCTTGGACATGAATCCGCCATGGAGGGCCTGCTGGCTGAACACGCTGAATCATCTCCAACAAAGCCCAGCCCCAACTTTCTGATGCTCCAGCTTTGGGGCAGGGGCATGGTGGCCCATGTAGTCTCCTGGTCCTGACCATCCCAGAAGAGGAGTGGGAGTCGGCTCAGAGAAGGAACTGAACCCAGGGGATCCATCCAGCTATTAGCCCTGGGCCTGGACCTTCCCCCAATTTCCCACTCCTTTCTTAGTCTTCTTCCAGAAACAGAGAAGGGGATGTGTGCCTGGGAGAGGCTCTGTCTCCTTCCTACTGCCAGGACCTGTGCCTAGACTTAGCATGCCCTTCAAAGAGTCACATCACCAATGCTGAGCAGTGGAAAGGGGCTATATGTGTATCAATAGACCACATTGAAGGAGCACAATGCCCTCCTGTGTTGATGCCACTTCCCAGGGTGGAGACAGTGGAAAAGAACTGAGGACAAGAAAGGGTTGGGTAGGTCAAGGGGTCGGGGGACTGGTAGTCCCCCAATCTTGGAGAGGTGCAAAAAGCACTGGGTGCTACCCGCTGGCTGCATCTGCCCTGGCTGTTTGTCCGTTCATGTCACAAACTACCACTACTACCTACCTGCAGTGGGGTTGCAGAGATGGGGGAGACTCAAGTCTTGCTCCCTAGGAGCTACCAGGGTCCAAGGAAGAGAATGCTGCCTCCTTTCAGTCTAGTCTACACCCCCTTTCTGGCGGCCTCTCCACTTCCTGTAATTCTGGCTATTTTTCTAGACTCAGCTCAAATAGTGCCCCTCCTTAAGCCCATCCCTCGCCCCCAGCCTGAGGTGATCTTTCCTGAACTGTTAGAGCAGTTACTGTCTGTTCAGTTCACTTGGCAGGCACACACAGTGGCATAAATTCTATTGTTTTGAACGCCGATTTAAAATTAAATTGCAGCTGGGCATGGTGGCTCAGTTTGTAATCCCAACACGTAGGGAGTCGGGAGAATCACTTGAGCTCAGGAGTTCTAGACCAATCTGGGCAACAGCGAGACCCCATCTCTTTTAAATAAAAAGTTAAATTGCTTAATTTCCCTGTATTCCTGGCCTGTCTGCCCCTTTCACATAATTTTAACCTGGTTTCCTGGATGTAAACTCATTGAGGGCAAGGAATATGTTTGAACATAGATTTTTTCGTGTCCTTCCTAGCACCTATTACAGTGCTTTGCTCAGGGACCATCCAGCACAGGCAGATGGAGGGCAGAGAAGCCCACTGGAAGATTGCAAAGTAAAGGGAATCCATTTGTGAACTCTGCCTGGAACAAGTGGGTGGTGACGGTGAAAGAGAAAGCCTAAGAGATTATAGAGTTGACATTTACTGAGTGCCTAATAGGTGCCAGGCGGGTTTAGGTGGTGGTGTCCATATCTTATGTGCGGAAACTTGGTCATACAGTCATACGAGCTGTAGGGAGTAGGTACTTTTATTTACCTTCATTTTCTGAGTGAGAGCACAGGCTCAGCGCAGGGGCCCGTTGTGGAGGAACTTTGATGCCTGGCTAGAAAGCTCCATCCTCAAGATGAGAAGCTGCGTGTGGGAACTCTGGCCTCCAATTCTGTCTCAACTGTTGGTCTTTGTGAATCACTGCTTGCCTCTACTGTCACTGCCATGGAGCAGCTCAGCCCAGGGTTGAAATTAGAATAGGGAGGGAATAAATTGGCTGGCCATGTGAGCTGGAGTCCACATCTCTCCCTCTGCTACTTATTCATGAGCTTCAAGCATCAAGGTGCCAGGCTTTATTTTCAGGGAGTGAAATGTAATCCCATCCCTTGTGGAGCCCCATGGTCCATGGTCACCCTTGGCTCTTCCTCTTGCCTCCCTTGGTCCTTTGGACTATTTGTCCACAGTCCCTCCATGGGCTCCTGGGAGGGCCAGGGTTTGCTGGAAGCCTTATGTGTGAGCAAGTGTACACAGGATAATGGTTAAGCATCCTCATGGATATGCCTGCCTTGGCGGGTCTCTGCCTTTAACTTTGTAGAGTTTAAACTCTGCCTTTAACTTCGGCAGATCACCTGTTTCATGCCCAGGTGAGTTGCCTGTAGCTTTAGGCCCCTCACAAACTCAGCTCTGGATTATCCCCATGGGGGAAGGGGTGGATTCTGCCCCCAGGCAGGACTATAGCAGGTGGCTCTAAGAGGCGCAGTTACCAGTCCCAATGGGAAATGAGCTCTGGCCCTGCCACTTCATGTGGCCCTGTGCAAATCACTTACCTTTGCTGGATTCAGTCTTCCAACCCATAGAATAGGTATGGTAATGACTTTGTCAGCTGACCAATGCCCAATGTGGCAAGGAAAGAGGGCTGGGAATTTATAACCCCAAGGTGCTGCACCATACCTTCCTGTTCTCCCTGCTGCAGTTCCATTGGGGAGGTGGGTGGACAGGAAGCCCCAGGTCCAATTTCTTTTTTTCTTTCTTTCTTTCTTTTTTTTTTTTTGAGACTGAGTTTCACTCTTGTCCAGGCTGGAGTGCAACGGCACGGTCTTGGCTCACTGCAACCTCTGCCTCCCAGGTTAAGTGATTCTCCCGCCTCAGTCTCCCAAGCAGCTGGGATTATAGGTGCCTGCCACCACATCCTGCTAATTTTTTGTATTTTTAGCAGAGATGGGGTTTCACCATGTTGGCCAGGCTGGTCCTGAACTCCTGACCTCAGGTGATCCACCCACCTCAGGCTCCCAAAGTGTTGGAATTACAGGCGTAAGCCACTGTTCCCGGCCCTAATTTCAATCCCTCACAGTTGCAGCTCCAATCTGTTTTCCTCAGGTTTTCTCTGGAAAACAGGTGAGCAAGCTAGTGTTCAAGGTGACTGCCCTAGGCTCCTTTGCCCAGCCCAGGATGATTCTTGTCTAACCACTGAGGCCCCGGCTCCAGAGTAGGGAGGTGCTCAGGCTTTAGCTGAAGGGCCAGGACAGGGGAGGGTGGAGATGGGCGGTCAGGAGCTGGAACCCCAGGGGAAGGGAAGGAGAAAAACCTAGCAGAAAGCGTTGTGTGAGCAAGTGTACACAGGATAATGGTTAAGCATCCTCATGGATGTGCCTGCCTTGGTGGGTCTCTGCCTTTAACTTTGCAGGTGGACAGAGACAGAGTGGATCTTAAGTATGGCATGATTTGTCTGTTCTGTGTGTGGTGCATGTGCACCCGTCTGTATGTGCTAGTCTGTGTGTATCGGTATTCACCTCCAGTTCTGGTTTGCTGCAAAAGGGGAACTCTGTCCTGTTTTTTAGAGGGCAGGTTAGAAAAAGCTCTCAAGTTGGAGGCGGGGACCCTGGATTTCTTTCCCCTGGCTTTAAATAAAGCTTTGGGGTTTTGCTTTTCCCAGGTTTTGTTTTGTTTTGTTTTGTTTTTGTTTTTTTAAGAGACTGGGGGTCTCACTATGTTGCCCAGGCTGGTCTCAAACTCCGGGACTCAAGTGATCCTCCCATCTTGGCCTCCCAAAGTGCTGGGATACAGAGTTTCCCCATGTTCTGACTGGCCTAAGCCTCTCTACGTAGTTCCATTTAGTGAACTCAACAAGGGTCCTCCTTTCTGGCTATGGCATCTGACAATCTCCTGTACCCCAGAATCCTGTTAGCTGAAGAGCCTATTTTCCTCTGCCCAGCTCCATACTTTGGGGGAAAAAAGCAAAACCCCCAAACCTAAGGGGTCCATACAGCACGTTACAGTCACTGAAATCCTCAGGGCTTCTCAGTCCCTGACCTCTTAAGTCAGATTTGGGCAAGCCAGCCCCCCTCTCCTAAGTTTACATGTAACCCCCAACATCCGGTACTTGCTTTATGAGTCACAGATTAATCCAGGTGAGTGATAAGGGCGAGGGGAAGCCTGGGGCACGTGAGTCACCCCTACCCTTCACAGGAAAGGCCAATGTGCTCATCTACCCCTGAGAGGGAGAAGGAGGCATCTCACACTGCCCCAGGGAACCAAGGAGGACCAAGAAGAAGGGTGTTTCAAACCAGAGGGAGACTTCCTCTTCTACTTCGAAATGAGTGGGGAGGATAATTTTCTGGTTTATATAAGGCCAAGAGGTATAGGAACTTGTCTAGGGTCACACAGGAACTTGGGGGGTACAGCTACTGAGAATCTAGGTGTCCTGGCTCCAGGCAAGCCACCTGCTTGAACCTGGCTTTTCTGGGGCCAAGGGTGGAGTGTGGAGGAAGAAAGGACTAGAGAGGCCTGAGCTGCAGACCTCTGCAGTGGGGTAGGGGAGGAGGGAAAAGCCAGGAGCCTCGCCTGTTGTGGGCCATTTGCCAGCCTAACCCCCCCTCCTTCTGCCCAAGGTTTTTTCTTGTTTGTTTTGTTTTTTTTGAGATGCCCAGGCTGGAGTGCAGTGGCCCGATCTCGGCTCACTGCAACCTCCACCTCCCAGGTTCAAGCGATTCCCCTGCCTCAGTCTCCCAAGTAGCTGGGATTACAGGCATCCGCCATCATGCCTGGCTAATTTTTTGTAGGTTTGTAGAGACGGGAGGGGTTTTACCATGTTGCCCAGGCTGGTCTCAAACTCCTGACCTCAGGTGATCCACCTACCTCAGCTTCCCAAAGTACTAGGATTACAGGTGTGAGCCACTGCGCCCGGCCTGCCCAAGGCTTTTGAATGCAGCTTTTATCAGCAGCCCAGAGGAGCAGGGTGAAGGATATGGGGAGTGGGGTTGTGCCAGGAGAGAGGGAGTATGAACATTCTGGTCAACCTCAGCTCAAGCCTAAATCTCCTCTGTTCCCTGGCCTGGGAGCTCAAAAGCAGGACCCAGCTCTCCTCTATTCTCCCAGATTGGAAACCTCCACAGGACAGGGCTTGGGTCTCCTAAGCACTGAAGAGGCTAAGGTTGGGCCCTGTCTGAAGGGACAAGGAAGCACTGAGACTGAGTCCCAGTTCCACTTGATGACCAACAGTTTGGGTGGAAAAGATAGTTATGGCCAGGCACGGTGGCTCACACCTGTAATCCCAGCACTTTGGGAGGCCAAGGCGGGCGGGTCACGAGGTCAGGAGTTCGAGACCAGCCTGGACAGTATGGTGAAACGCGTCTCTACTAAAAGTATAAAAAGTAGCTGGGCGTGGTGGCACGTGCCTGTAATCCCAGCTACTCAGGAGGCTGAGGCAGGATAATCGCTTGAACCTGGGAGGCGGAGGTTGCAGTGAGTCAAGACTGCGCCACTGCACTCCAGCCTGGGTGACAGAACAAGACTCCATCTCAAAAAAAAAAAAAAAAAAAGGAAAAAGATAATTACGGCATCCTGGCCTTTCCCCAGTCTCCCTCCACAATGCCCCCACCTCCATCTCCCAACCTATGGGGTCTCTCTGGAGCCTAGTTCTCACTGACCCCCAGTCTCGAGACCAGGAAGTCATTCTTGAAGTCTGACTTTGGAATCTCCTGCTGCAGCCTGTTCGCTTCCCTGGATTCTTCCCCTTATTCCTCTCGCCTGGGGCGGGTTGCTAGTGGCTCCCCTATAATTAGCCACCAGACTGGGCTGGCTAGAGGGTAGAGTGTACTGGGGCTCATGCACAACCGTCACCTAATGCATCGCCAAATGCATAGCCTCCTCCTGCCACCTCCTCCCCACCACCCACCCGCACCCCCTGCCCTTTGACCACAGGCCTTTTGAAGAACCATCGTCCTACTGGTCTCTCAGTCCCCACCTGAGGTTCCTGTCCACCCAGTTCTGCCCCCTTCAACTTCTTCAGCTGCTTGCCAAGTTGCCCTCCTCACTCTGCCTCCTAAACCCTTCTCCCTCCCCATAGCCATTGCCGGCCATCTGGCCTGGCTTCCTCCTCCATGGCCTCCTCCCAGGCCTTCAGCCTCTGTCTCTCTCTTCCAACCCGTCTTCCACTTAGCAGTTGCAGGGGTCCTTCTAAATGGTAGATAGAGACCATGTCACTTCCCTGCTTAAAACCTTCAGGGCTGCCATTATTCACTGTTCTTAGTGGTGTCACATTCGTCAATTGTAATCTCGTTCAGAATCCTGATGTAAGGCTGGGCGCGGTGGCTCACACCTGTAATTCCAGCACTTTGGGAGGCCGCAGCGGGTGGATCACCTGAGGTCAG